GGGGGGGGGGGGGGAGGAAAGAAGAAGGAAGGTGGTCAGGGAGACACTGAGTGAGGCCCTTGCACATGTAATCATTTGTACCTGTGACGAAACGTGCATAACCATTTCAACGTGTACAATTCAGTGGCATTAACTTTGTTCACAATGTTGTGCAACCTTCACTACGTATTTCCAAAACTTTTCATCCCTCCGAGAAGAAGCCCCTCACCCATTAAGCGGTCCCCCCCCCATTCCCCTCTCCCAGCGCCTGGCAACAGCTCATCCATTTTCCGTCTCTGTGGATCTGCCTGTTCTGGATATTTCGATGGAATCATACAGTTTGTGGGGTTCCGTGTCTGGCTTCTTTCACTGAGCGCAGTGTTTTCAAGGTTCATCCGTGTTGTACCAGGTGTCAGTGCTCCATTGCTTTCTATGGCTGAATAATATTCCTCCGAGTGACGGTGCTGCGTTCTGTCGATCCGTTCACCAGCCGATGGGCGTTTGGGTTGGTGCTGCGGTGTCATGTCACTTTACATACGCTCACGTTGCTATGATCCAAGCAGGACTCTACCCATTTTAGCCGTGAAAAGGCTGGGGCTCAGAGGCCCTGTGACTTGGAGTAGGAGGTAGTTAATTTAAAAAGAAAAGAAAGGAAAAGACCTGGGCTTTGGAGCTGAGAAGACCTGGGTGAGAGCAAGAAAAGAACAGTGTCCAAAGATGCTGCACCCCAGGAGCGGGTCATACGGCCTGGCTTTCCACACACAGCCTGGGCCGCGTGACCTCCCCAGGAGGTGGGACTATTTTTAGTCCCATTTCAAATAAAGGAAACCAAGGTCCATCTGCCTGCCGCTTGAATGTGTCCATGGGGGGCAAGCTTCTTCACTTCTGAGCCTCGAAAGCCCCCTCACCACCCACTCTGGGATGTGGGAACGTGGCTGAGGCCGGAGGAGATCGTGGGTGTGGGCACTGAGGGTGGCTCAGCGGGGCCTTCCTGCCCGCGCAGGCCTGGCCCTGCTGGGCCTTCTGGGCTCCCCGGCTCCGGGTCCCCGTGGTGGAGGCGATGGGAGGCTGTGGCTCCTTATCGCTGCCTGGGCTGCTTCCTTAGCTGGGGGAAGATTAGCCGTTTCTCCATCGGCCGCCTCCCCGAGTCACACTGCAAGGTCATTGAAGGCACGTCCCTTGGCGTGCTGGTCAGTGGCCAGCGCCACAGACCAAGTCCTCTCCGGCATCTCCGGCCACTGGAGCCCTATTTCAGGTCATGGAGTCTGCAGGCAACAACATGAGGCTGAATCCTGGCTCCCTGACTGGGTGGCGATTCTTGTACCACCTGAGCAAGAGTGGGACCCGGGCTTCAGCTGCCCCATCCGTAGAGTGGGGCTAAAGTCAGTTTCCAGCTGCAGGGGACCCAGGACAGGCAGGAAGAACCACTGCAGCTCCAGCCCGTGAGTGCCAGGCAAAAGAAGGGTGGCGTAGGATGGCGGCAGGCCTTCCTTGTGCCCTACCCCTGCCACCTGGCATTCTCTAACCCTCGACCTCCTGGGTGCCTGGCCGCAGGAACCCCGTTTTGCAGATCAAGGACAGGAGTAGAGAGGCAGAGATCGCACCGCTGCAAGCGTCAGACCCCAGGGCCCCTGGATCCTGTTTGCCCACAGGAAAGCACAATTCTCCAGGGGCTTTTCAGTTCCACGGGGATTTTCTCACCAACACTGGACCTCAAGCAGCAGTAGGTTTCAGGCTCAGGCTCCACCAGTAGAGGCTTTGGCGGTGCTCTTCCAAAACCGCATGTTGTGGGTCCCTCCTCTTCTCCACCCTGGACCTCCTTTATCATTTTTTCTCCATGGATCCCTGTGGGAAAATGTCTCACCCACCAAACACGTTGCAAATATTAATCAGTGACAAGCTCCTTTGCCATTTTGTGCAATCAGAGACACAGAATGCCTGCCAACCGGAAGCTCTGAACAGCCTGATGTATGAGTTTCCTGTGGCTGCTATAACAGGACCACACGCTGCGCAGCTTAATCAACAGAAGTGTCTTGTCTCTCAGTTCTGGAGGCTGAAGTCTGAGATCAAGGTGTCAGCAGTGTTGGTTCCTTCTGAGGCTGTCAGGGAGGATCTGCTCCAGGCCTCTTTCCCAGCTCCTGGTGGCAGGTCCTTGGGGTTCCTTGGCTTCTTGACACATCACCCCCATCTCTGCCTCTGCCTTCATACGGTGTTTTCTTCATGTCTCTGTATCTCTGCAACGCATGTTCAAATTCCTTTCTTATAAGGACGCCGTCATTGGATTAGGGCCCTCCATAATCTCCTATGACTTCAACGTACCTTGATCACATCTGCGATGACCCTATTTCCAAATAAGATCGCAGACAGAGGCACCAAGAGTTGGGACTCGTACATATTTTCTGTGGGGACATAATTCAACCCCGTACACCCAAGTTACCATTTCATATAATGTTTGGGTCTGGTTTTCTGGCCCTACCAGAGGAAAACGCACAATTTTGTGAAGGTTCTTGTAACGTGGAAAGGAGCTCAGGGCTCTTAGTCCCCAACCGGGTGGTGTCTGTGACTCATCAGAGAGTAGAAACCATAGCATTGCAAAGGGCTCTTTTCCCACCTGTCCCATGCTTGCCTGTCTGCAGGAGGCCCATTGGGGCTTCCCAGACTTATCACAGGAAAACGGGAAAGTCAGGGCCGTCAGGTGAGCAGACAGACGGGCCTCTTGGGAAGCCACTGCTCAGAGCTGTCCCTGCCTGCAAGAACCCAGCCCAGCCACAGAGCTGGCTGAGCCCAAGCATGGCAGACGGCAGCGCCCCAGGTGTGGAGACCTGTTTCTCAGAATGCAGGAGGGCCAGAAATGATGCCCCCAGGTGGTGACGAGCCACAGCCAAGAGGATGCACCCACTGCCCCTGGGGTACACAGAGAGGGGTGTGCTGGGCCAACACCTAGAGCGTTTCCAGCCTCCTCTGTCTGTTCATGGGCTCCCCATCTCAGTAACACGCATGAAGACACCCCATTAGGAAGTGTGGCTGTGTGGCTTCCAGGTCCATACTCAGCCCTCCCTGGCAGCTGCCTGAATTTCTAGGCTCAAGGAGGCCAGGACAGGGCACTGTCTTTCTTCTACGTCTTGATATAAGACCCAACCTTCCCCAAAGGGAAGCACCGTTAGGAACTGAGTTTACGCCCACCCCTCACCCCGGCCACTTACTGGGACTGGGTCACACTCTGATTCTCTGAGCGTTTTAACGTCATTGTATTCCCTATTTACAGACGAGGACATTGATGCACAGAGAGGTTAAGTGACTTGCCCAAGATCACACAGCTCTAGGTCACCAAGCCAGGCTTTGCCTCCAAATCATCCGTATTTTACAGACAGGCCACTGGGTCCCTCACCCGGCGCCGCAGTCTGCGTGTGAGCCACGGCTGCTTGCTGAGGAGCCAGCCCAGCCTCTCCAGGCAGTCCCTGCAGAAGCTCAGTGAACGTGCAATGGTCCAACCAACGAGCGAGCGCCCGGGTGAAGCGCAGCTCCACGTGCAGCGGACGAAGAGCCCGCTGCCGGGATTGCGGGTCGTCAGCGACTTCCCCGCCAGGCGCCCCTCGGCCTGGGGAAGGGGCCCTAGTGGGCGGAGCCTCGTCCAGCGTGCCAATGGCAGGGCGGGAGCAGGGAGGGGCGGGGCGCCCGGGCGGGGGGTGCGGGAGGCGGGGCCGGCGGGCGACCGGCCAATGGCGGCGCGGGGGCCGGGCGGCGGGCGGTGGGCGGGGGCGCGCGGAGGCGGCGGCGGCGGTGGCAGCGGCGGCGAACAAAGAGGCGGCGGGCGCGGGCGGCCGACCGGAGCCGAGCGCAGCCGAGCCGGGCCGAGCCGGGCCGAGCCGGGCCGGGCCGGACCCAGGAGCGCGCGGGCGATGCGGGAGGCCAGGCCGGGGTCGGCGGGCCCCTGATCCCTGCGCCCCAGGCCAGCCAGGGAGCCCCGCGGCGGCCGCGCGCTCTAGCCGCCGGCCCGCCATGGCCGGGGTCAGCTACGCGGCGCCCTGGTGGGTGAGCCTCCTGCACCGGCTGCCCCACTTCAACCTGCGCTGGGAGACCACCAGCAGCCAGTTCCGGCCCGAGGACACCGACTACCAGCAGGTGACGCGGGCCCCCTGGGTCGGGGATCAGATCTCGGGTCACGGCCCCCCTCCCTGCGGGTCACGATCCCCCTTCCCAGGGTCACGGCCCCCTCCTGCTGCAAGGTCTAAAGATTCCCTATCCCCCACCGACGGTCACGGCCTCCTCCTCCTCCGTGGGTCCTGAGCCCCACTCCCCGAGGGTCATGGTCCCCTCCTCCTGGAGGGTCTAAAGGCTCCCCACCCTCCGTGGAGGATTATGGCCCACTCCTTCTCGTGGGTCATAGCACCGGTTCTTCTGGAGAGCCTCCTCCTGGGTCACAGGTCTCCCCTGCTTGAGAGTCTAAGGACCCCCCCCCCAATTCCCCACGGAGGGTCCACAGCCCTGCAGATTCTAGCCTTCTCTTCTCGAGCCACTGAGAGCCTCCTTTCTGGGGTTGGGAGGAGCTGCCTCCTTGCCCTCCACGGAGACCCCTCTGCCAGCTGTCAGTGCCTGCTAAGGCTCCTGCCCAGGGGCGGCCTGGGGGTGTTGCCAGGCAGAACTCCCTACCCAGAGGACCCAGGGCCCTGAGACCACGGCCGATGCCCGAGAACACTGGGTGAAGCCAGGTGGGGATTCCTCACCCCTCATCCCCAGCTGGGGAATCCCACTCACTGCCAAGCTTTTGGTGGGTGAGTGGTCTGGGTAGATGCCAGCCCTCCCTGGCTGGTAATGACCCCGTGCTGGGCGGCCAAGCTGTGGGATGTACACACAGTGCCTGCCCAGAGACCTGGCTGCCTGTAGCCCTGAGGGAGGGAGGCCTGGCCACAGGGACGCCAGATTGGCCTCAGTCTGGAAGGCTGGAAAAGGGGCTGCGCCTGGGCAGAGCTGGGGAGTGGCACGGACCCTTCGCAGCCCTCTCCCCGAGTAACCAGGCTGTACCAGTGGAGCCCCAGGTCTGGGGTCATGCCAAGCCCAGCACCACCCCTGCCACTGAGCCACTGCTGTTTGAGTGCCGGGCAGGGGACCTGGCTGTGGACATTTCCTTCCTGCCTGGGGATCCGGATTCCACACACCCAGTGACTGGGGTGCCTGGTCACCCAGAACGCCTCTGAGTTCCTCTTTGGTGATGAATGCAGAGCCCCAGGGTGGGGTGGGAACGACTTTGCTCATAAGATGGCCTGGGAGTCCGATATCCGTGGACCGTGTCACCCCTCTCCAGTTCAGAGCTCTTTCCTCTTTGGTCTCCCTTGTCCAGAGGTGGAGAACCAGAAGCACCCCAGCTCTGCAGGGGAGCCTGCCGCCCCAGCCTCAGTGCTCACGTGGTGCCCGGTCCCCCAGCCCTGCTGATCTTTGTCTAAGCAGACTAGAAAGGGGGCTAGGGATTGGCCCATGCACACCCAGGGACAGCAGGATTCTTATAAAACCGGACACCCGTGTTCTAGAAGCCCAGCCCTGGGGGGCTGACCAGTGTGAGGGCAACAGCACTCCTCCGTGCACTCCACGAACTTCACCTGGGGTGGCTCTGCCACACCTGTCCCCGGGGCTCTGCTTCCACAGAACAGGACAATGTACCTTACTTTAGCAAGGTCTCTGCCACTTCAGTTCTGAAGCTCCAGGGGTACCCGGGGTGTCTGTGACCCACGTGGGGCTTTCCTGCTGGCCCGTGGGCTGCCACCTGCCCATGCTGCCCACCACGGTTGAACTGGCTGCCATGCCTCCTGCCCTCCGAGGCGCCCGGACATGTGGTGGGAAGTGAGCGAGGGGCCGACGCCTGCAGCCCGTGGAGGCGTCGGGAGTGGTGGCCAGGCCCCTCTGCGCTCAGCCCAGCCTCCCGCAGGGCCCTTTGCTCCTGAGCGGGCCCTGGTTTCTGCCGCGGGGGAGGCTCTGACTCACTCTCTCCTCCTCTCCCCGCGGAGCAGAATTAGCTGCTGAATAATTCACGGTGTGGAAAGCAGCCTGGCTCCGTCCCCCGCCACCTCGCTGCTGGCTCGGGGCTGTGGAGCTACCTGGACCTGGGAGGACCTGGGAGTCGTCCTACCCCTACCCTCCTGTGCTGGTGCTTTCGGGCAAGCACTTGACCTCTGAGCCTTCACTGCCTCGTTCCTGAAACTGGGCCGGTGCGCCGTCTGTGCAGGGCGGGTAGGGAGTGAGGGCCCCGTGCTCCTGCTCTGTGTTGGGTGTGCAGCCCAAAGAGCTCCCTCTCTGGGTGGGTGGGCGATGGTTTGGCGTGGGCCCTGGCCTGGGGCCTCTTCCTGCCTCCCCTGGGGGAGCATTCCTAGCTGTGGGGGCATCACCCTCATCCCGCTGCTGGGTGGTGGACCCCGTATCCTCCTGACTTGGGGCACCCCTCTTGGCCTGGGAGCCTGTCTGTGTCTGGCACGCACCTGGGCTGCAGGGGCCTGGCAGTCTTCTCCCCACATGTGGGCTGGGCCCAGCCGGGGAGGGGCTTCTGCTTCCCAGGCCGCCCAGAGGAAGCGGGGCCCCTGATGCAGGAGTAGAGGGGTGGTATGGCCTGGGGAGACCAGCTGTTAACCTTCGCTCTTTCCTGCCCACACCATCCACTGCTGGGAGCCCGGTGAAACCCACTGGAAACCCCACGGGCCAGACCCTGTTTGGGGGTGCTGTTTGGGGCTACCGCTAGCCTTTTCTCACACAAATCTGGAAGATGAGGACAGTCGTCTCCATTGTACAGATTAGCAAACTGAGGCTTAAAGAGGAGATTGGCTGAGAATCACATAGCGAGTGGGTGGTAGGGCCGGAATCCTGCTTCAGGCCCCTTGCCCCTGCCCCCCTAGGAGCCAGAGTCAGCCTTGGGGGCCAGGGGCTTCCTGAGTCCCCGACGGCTGGCCCCCTGCAGGGGATGTGACTGAGGGATTAGGTGCTGAGGGAGGCTGTTCTGCGGGCTCTCAGAGCCCTGGCTGGCCCTGTGCTAGGGGCTTGGCGCCTCTGCAAGACCAGGGGTCGGGTTTTGCATCCTAAAGGCTTGTGATTTCTCTTGGCCCCGTATTCCTGGGGCCTCCACCCTGGAGAGGAGGGGCTCCCTGGCCGCGACTCCTGTCTCTTGGGGGCTCATGCTGTTGCTGAATGGACGGACTGCAGGACGGTGCTGCTGCGCGTTCTGTGGGGCCTGAGGGGTTGTGCGGGCTGGCAGGTGCTGGAAGGAGCAGAAGGCTTCTGGGGTCTGCTGTGTGCCGCCCCACCCCCGCACCTGCCTGCTTGCTGCCGGTCTGGCTCCCCTGGGACTGGGCTCTTCCCAGCATGCCAGGGGCTCCCCGAACCTGGGGCAGCTGATGGGCGGGATGCTCGTTTTACAGGGGAGGGGTCGCAGGCCCGGAGGAGGAGGAGACTCCCTGGTGGTTGCGTAGCCTGTGACCTGATGTGGCTTGAGGCCAGTCTGTCCTCCGTGGTGAAGGTCAGGGCTGTCATGGCTGCAGGCGGGGGGTGGGGGGAGAGTCTCAGAGCCCTCTCTGCAGACCGGCGTGCGGGTGTCTGGCTGCGGGGTGCCCAGCCTGGGCTCGAGTTCTGTAGCTTCCCACCTGTGTGACCTTGGGTGGGTCCATCCACCTCTCTGGGCTTCACCTTGGGATCTGCCCCCTTAACTCCTACCAGCCCTTCCCGACTCCCCACTCCCAAGCCTCCCACACCCCTGGTGTCCTGAGGCCGAGGTCACACTCACTCTCTGCCCTCAGTCCCTCTCGTTGTCACTCACTGTCTCCCCCAGTTAAGGGGAGACTGGAAGCTGTGAGCTGGAGGACAGTACAGGCTGGTGTGGTGGTGCTGCGATCAGGTCAGGACTAGGCCTGCGGAAGTCCAACAGTCAGGGGAGGCTTCCTGTCGGAGGCGCTACCTTGCCTGCCGTGGAGGCGGTGAGCCAGGCTCTGAATGACCAGAAGGCGAGGACCTGCCTGGAGCTTGGCGTGCAGTGGGCATAGCAGCTCACCTTCCACGTCGGCCCAGTGTGTGGGGCCCTGAGTGCTTTGGATGTTCCCATCGAGACCCTAAAGATAAGACCGAGGTGGCTGTGCAGAGACCTTGGGGAAGAGAGTTCTAGGCGTTGGGAACTGCCCGTGCAAAGGCCCTGAGGCAGAGAGAAGCCTGGGCCTCAGCCCAAGATAAGGGAGTCCCTCTGATCTGTGCTGCCTCAGAGCTGGTGAGTGCTCTGTGCCCGGGGCTGTGTGAGGCCAGCCTGGAAGGCCACTTAGGCAGGACCCACAGGAGCCAGTAGTCTCCTAGCAGAGACCACAGCTGTTCAATGCTGTGGCTCAAGCAGGGTCAGCGCGTGCCTGGGAATGAGGCTGGCTCCGCTGGCACCATCTCCACGATCAGGAGGAGATTCACGCTGGTTAAAAACAGCATTTATCGCCTCTCTTCTTGTTTATGAAAGTAAGACACATTCATGGAACACTTGGAAAATAGGAAAGAGTGTGGAGACAGGAAAACACGTCCCTCTAGCTGGAGTCTGTCCATGCGCTTATACCTGGGGAGGGGTGCCGCCTAAGACTAGAATTCGTCACCGGCGTTTAAGCATCATGTCTTTTGGACCATGTCCTTGGTCCGTGGTTCTTGGCGCTTGCCCAGCGTCCCACGACACCAGGATTCTGAGGCTGCGAGTGACAGAAACGTGCCAAACGTAACAGAGCACGCCGAGGGGCTGCGTGGAAGCTTCTAGAGCACGCCCTGCGTGGACAGCAGCTGCGAGGGTGCAGGGCCTATGCATTGGTGGGGGGGCAGGGAAGCCCCTGCTAGGCGAAATCAACTTTGTCTGTTTCGCTCTTAGCCAGTGCCCCATCGCTGGGGAGAACCGGCTGTCACGTGGCCCTCTGGCTGGGAGGTGAGGCTGCTGGCTGCCTCTGCCACCAGGTCTACACCCGCTGAGGGGTAGGTGTTGGGGCCACCAGGCTCTGCGCCGCCAGGCCCCATCTTTGGGCCTTTCTGGGGCTCCTGGTTTTCTCGGGTCTGAAGATGCGGTGACCAGCTCTGTCCCCAGCACTGTAGTGCCCTGCCTGGGGGACAGAACAGCTGGGCGGGCGCCTGTTTCG